TCAATGGTTTACTACCTTGTAAGCAGGCAAGAGTTTTCTTTTAAGGTCGGGCTTGTCCATGGAGAACGTACTATGCTCTTCGGAGGCCTAAAGGACCTGCCTCAGGCACTAAAGGTGGTAGTTTTGTACCCACAATGAGTTCCCTGACCAAGATCATTATCTCTTTAGGGAGAGGTGATCATGACATAGTTGGCAATGGTGGGATTCATGTGTGGTCTGAGCTGTTGAGAGACTTAGTCTAAATTGGATGCAGTTGTGCATATCCAGGCTGTGAAGTGAAATAAGGTTACTTTTCTGCATTTGTTATTTTGCTAGACAAGATGACAGAAAGAGGGACTCTTTTACCCTCTGTGGATGACATCTGTCCACAGATGTAGAACAGGTCATCATTACTGAAAATGGAGCTCTACCTGCCTCCATGGCTGGGGCTGCCAGACCCAGGATAACAGGACAGTCTGTGATCCCTGACCCCAGAATCACAGACAGTTTGATAGGTCAAGCCTGTGATGTTGCACACAAGAGAGAGAGGTGACGTGCAGCTCGAGTGGCCACTTGGGCAGCAGCACAGTTGGATTGGAGCTCAGGTATCCAAGCAGATGACCAAGAAGGTGATTCAGATGGACAGGACAATACAGCTGACCAAGGGGATGGTGCGACCCCTGCCGCAGCCCTTCCACTCCAACCTCCATCTAACATGGACATGTTAACCCTGATGATTACTGACTTCTTAGCTGTGCAGAGGGAACTAATGATTGCCTAAGTGAAAAGAGAGCATCAGGAAGAGAAAGAGGCAGGGGGGGAAAGGGTGTCAGGAAGAGCAAGGGGCAACAAGGACGGAGAAGGAAAAGAGTTCTTTGGCTAAATTTGACCGTAAGAATCTTCCTACTTTCCAGGAAGGACATGCTTTCCTCTTTAACTTTGAGCAGGCTTGTGAAGATCTAGGTGCGCCTCAGGCACTCTTTGTTAAATTGCTCCACTCTCAAGTTATGGGACAGTTAGCTGAATTATTGGCTCAGAGAGCGGGGGTTGACTTGTCTTGGAATGACTTTAAGCAGTTGGTGCAACACTGTTTTGGTTACACCCATAGGGTCTACGGCAAAAATTCAGGGCCTTGAAACGCCAGCATAAGGAGTGCTTTTCAGTTTTTGCTGATAGATTGGAATGTGTGTGTGGAAACTGGTTTAGTTCAGCTAGAGTAAACTCCATTGCAGGGCTTACTCGTCTAATTTTGTGTGAGCAATTTTTGACTACAGTGTCTCCTGAGCTGAGGACTGCTTTGTTAGACAAACACATTGATAATCTGCAGCATTTGGCCTTAGCAGCAGATGAATTATGGGCATTCAGAGCTGAGGAGTTTCATCAGAAGGCAAAACCAGGGAAGGGCATTCAACAGCCAAAAAGATCAGAGCAGTTCAAAGGACAGGAAAAGCCTTTTTCATCTGGGACTAAGTATGCTAAACCTGTGGAAACTAACCAGAAGCCACAAAATGCTACTTGTGTGGAGGGAGCCATCTAAGACGAGATTGCCCTATAACTCAACAGGGCAGCCGGCCGTCCAAATCGCCCACCAAGCTGGCAATCCCATCACAGCAGTGTCAGCAGCCGAAGCTGAAGTTTATTAGCTACCTGGGACCATGAGGAATTCCATCCACCAGATGACATTGTGTGTGGCTCGCAGAGGACCGAGGGATTCCAGAGAGAAGACGCCTCAGAGGGATTCCTGCTCCAGAGACCAGCGCTTCAAAGTCCAGGGCCACAAGAGTATTAGCCCCCACAAAAGAAACAAGCAATACAAAAACAATGGGAGATACTAATAGACTCTGCATTAAATAATACAGTGGCGCCTCGCTTAACGATTTTAATTGGTTCCAAAAAAATCATCGCTACGGGAAAACATCGCTAAGCAAACCGCGGTTTCCCATTGAAATGCACTGAAAACCGGATAATCCGTTCCAATAGGAACAGATTGCCATCTTTAAGCGAAAATCTCCATAGGAAAGATCGCTAAGCGAAACGTGGTTCCCCAATTGAAATGCATTGAAACCCATTCAATGCATCTCAATGGGGGAAAAAAATTCAACAACAAATTTAAAAAGAGTAAGAACAAAGTCAAATTTGGTTAACAAAGGGTTTATTAAGTGCACTTTATGATTTCAAACATTTTACACAGTAAACTTTAACTTTATAACATTTAAAAAACAGCAAACATGAGGCTGTTTAAACCATCATTAAGCGAAACAGGGTACCCAAAAACTAATCGTTATGTGAAGCATGGTCCTGAAATCGCTAAGCGAAAATCGCCCATAGGAAACATAGTTAAACGGAGCGCAAAAATGCTCCAAAAAGTCATCGCTAAGCGAATTCATTGTTAAACGAAGCGCTCGTTAAGCGGGGCACCACTGTAACTCCAAATTATTCGGAGCATTATTTACCAGTGCCCTGCAGCATTCCTGCTAACATTTGGGAGCACTATTTCTCTAAAATCTTTGCTGAGACAAGAACACAACCAATGGAAAATTCAATTGTTTTGGACATAAATAATCTGCCAGAATGGGACCCTGGCTGAAATAAAGACCCTAGTCTCCTGCCTGAATATTGGAAAGGCTCCAGGATCAGATATAATTCCAACTGAAAATTTGCAAGCTAACATAGATTGGTGGGTACCTCTCTTACTACACCTATTTACATACATCAATAAAACTGCCCATTTCCCCCTCACATGGCTAGAAGCTATAGTGATAAAGGTAAAGGTAAAGGTTCCCCTTGACATTTTCAGTCCAGTCGTGTCTGACATTAAGGGACGGTGCTCATCCCGTTTTCAAGCTATAGAGCCAGCGCTTGTCCGAAGACAGTTTCCGTTGCCACATGGCCAGTGTGACTAGGGAACACCGTTTTACCTTCCCACTGAGATGGTACCTATTTATCTACTCTCATTTGCATGCTTTCGAACTGCTAGGTTGGCGAGAAGCTGGGACAAAGCGATGGGAGCTCACTCTGTTGCGTGGATTTGATCTTATGACTGCTGGTCTTCTGACTCTGCAGCACAGGCTTCTGCGGTTTACCCACAGCGCCACCACGTCCTTTAAAAAGGAGATAGTGAGGATCTCCCAAATTACAGACCTATCAGTTTACTGTCAGTCGTGGGTAAATTATATGCCAGGTACTTAAATATTAGATTTACCACCTGGATTGAGGAAGAAAATATTCTTGGGAATGAACAGGGGTTCAGGAAGGGCCCCTAAGCTTGACCATTGCTTAGTAGTTAACCATCTAACTGAGACGTATATGACCCATTATGGGAATAGGTTGTCTGTAGACTTTATAAACTTGAAATCAGCTTTTGACTCAACCCCAAGGGATAAATTATGAGATAAATTATATGTCTTCTCAATTGATAAAAAATATTGCTTCATCTTATTAGATGCCTTATATCACAATTTGAGTAAGGTGCAGACTGGATGGCAATTTGTCAAATTCTATTCTTACCGATAGGGGGGTCTGCCAGGGCGGTATAACTAGCCCCCACATTGTTTAATCTTTGCTTAATAACTTGATAAACAGATGTTTAGCATCAGAATTCCATGGCTCAAAACTGGCTGAGACCAAGATTCCTTTGTTGTTCTATGTAGATGGTGCTTTTCTCATGTTGCTAGTGCAAACAGCCTTAAATACAGATGGGGAAATACCCCTGCACAGATGGAGTTAACAAGTCCACACTCATGAGTCTGCCGCCACCGGCATCCCTGCTCTTCCTTCCAATCGCTCTGGAGCACCCGGTTGGCTAGCTACTCCTGGCAGAGGGAGGGAAAACGAATACCCCCATCTCTAGACTTAAATGATTTTCACATATTTTCTGGGCTACAGTAAAGATAACTTGATAACAATTAATTTTAGAAAAACCAAGATCATGGCTTTTTCTAGACTTACTCAGGTAAACAAGTGGATAATTGATGGACAGCACATTGAGCAGATTAAGAAGTTTAAATACCTGGGCAATGTTTTTAGCTCCACTCTCTTTTGGAGCAGCCACAGACAGTCACAATTGCAGATGGCACAGAATACAAATAAAGCAGTGCTTTGGTTTTTTTTTTTTTTTACACCAAGCAGGCACAATTCATTCCTGCTGCATTGCAGGTGGTTAAGGTCAAAATTTTATCCCAGCTGCTGTATGGTATAGCAATATGGATTCAAAGTTTTAATTCAGCTCTTGAAACTATGCTCTCAAATCTGTTGTGCTCAGTTTTTGGAATGCCCAGATGTGCCTCATCTGCAGGACTATGGTTAGAGGCAGGCTTCATATCAGTAGAATGTAGGGCTTGGTCTCTTGCCTTATGGTATTAGTTAAAAGTTTTGTATGCTGACTCATCTTCAGGTCACCTTTATCTCTTGTGGAAAGATCTTTTTATTAGTTCTTGGTTTAATGGATTTGTAGCTAAATTACACATTTAAAGTGCTACCTAGAAACAACATATGTTAGATTTCATCCTTCTCCTGTAAACCTTTAAAGGGAGAATGAAGGTGAATATTGTATATTAAAAGATGTATTGTACACATTATAAAGTGCAGGTATAAATAACGGGAATCAAATATCTTGAAAGGCTGTATGTATGTATAGTGCTATAGGAGCAGTGGACTTTTGTCTCTTCATACAAAAAGGATAGGTTACTTACTTTAACTATGTTTCTTTGAGTGGATCTCCATGAATGCACACTAATAGGTAGCATTCTGCACTTATGTGAATCCTCAAGAACCTTCTAGAGTTAAAATTCAGGAGATTGTTAGAGGCCCCGCCCTGCCACGTTGCCTGTTTACACCTCCAATGGGCCTCCCTCAGTTTCCCAACTGCCGCTAGGAAGCAGCGTGACTAGAGGGGAGGAAGGAGGAACATGTGAATTCACGGAGATCCACTCGAAGAACCATAATTACAATAAGTAACCTATCCTTCTTCGTCGTGGTCTCTGTGAATGCACACTAATGGGAGGAATAGCAAGCTCACTTACCGGTCGGAGGGTTGTCAGAAGGCAACACCGCTCTGCCCACAGGGCTGGTGGACCGCTCACATGTGTCAAGACGATAATGAGAGATGAAGGTCGAAGGCTGGGCTCATGTGGCAGCAACACAGATGTCATCCAGAAGAATACCCCACAGGAAAGCTGTTGAAGATGAAACAGCCCGCGTTGAGTGCGCCCACACTGTCACCAGCAAAGGTGATGAGACAGCTCATATGAGAGAGTGATGGTGTTGACTATCCACCTGGCCAGCCTCTGAGCTGAGACAGAGGAGCCTGCGGCAGCCTTCATGTAGGTCACAAAAAGTTGGGCAGTGTTATGAAAACTCCAAGTTCTAACAGTGTAGAAGGCCAAAACAAATCTGACATTGAGGAAGTGAAGGGACTACTCAAGTGGAAAGGAAGGAGACAGGTAAAAACCAGGTAAAATCATGGAGTGGCGAAGGCCTAAGTGTGAGTGCACTTTCAGAATGAAGGAAATGTCTGAAAAAGCAATCACCTTGTCTTTGTAGAACTGAAGAAAAGGGGGTCATGGAGCCAGAGGTGATGGCCACAAAGAAAACCTGAAGAAAACTTCAGCATCAGGAAACAAAGGTAAGGAGTTGCCAAGGGTTTGAAAGGGGTTTTTGTGAGATAACAGAGAAACAGTGTAAGGGACTACTGGGTGGGGGGACATCAGGAAATAGGTTGTGAAGGCCCTTGACAGAGTGCTTCATTGTAGCATCACAAAACAGGAGGGATGCTGGAGAACCCTGAGGTTGATTGGCTATAATTGCTGACAGACTTTAAGGAAGAGAGACCATCTTCCTTCAAGGCCAGCAGGAACTCACATATGACAGGAAGGGACGGACTGAATGGCGATTGTGGTGTCCACCCAGGTCATGAATATTAATGAGCTATCTGCATGTACCAATGAGAGCACTGGAGAGGCAGAGTCACCAGATACAGGAGTCTCTGCAGGAGGGGGAGAAGGGAAGGATTTGTGAATTTGGAGTTTGGGGAGTTGAGAGAGAGGGTCGGCGATTGGGGGTGAATGAAGTAGAATGTTTTGTTAAGAGTTAACATCATCGACTGTACCTTCATCACCTGTAATAATAAACAACTTCTATTTTGTTCTTTTAAAAATGATACATTGCCTTGGACCTGTATCATTAATAATAAACAATGTTGGTGAATCAGTTGGTGGCAGCAACACGACGTGTGGCTTGTGCCCTTTGCTTGGTGAAACAGCCAGGGGACAGGCGAGAACATGACAGTGATAAGCCTTTAGAAGTTGCAAATGAGATGAATTTCCACCATTTATAGGCACAGCACTTCCTCACAGAGGGGGCGCTGCAAACCCTAGAGGACTTAAGTTAGAGTGGGAAAAGCCTCCAGACGATGATTGCAAGAGTCTGAGGGTTGGGATGGATGATGAATCCTTCACTCTGGGAGTGAATGTGAAGAAGCCTCAGCAGACAAAGGTAGGCGTTGCAGCTCTGTAGAAGGGGTGCAAACCAGGCCTGATGAGGCTACGAAGGAGTGATTAGGACAGTGTCGGTCCTGCCTCTACACAACCTGAGGATCACCCTGTGTAGCAGGAGGAATGGGGAAAAGACACAGAAACCCACCTCTTTCACCTAGGGAGTTGTATCCCACACTGCCTCTGGAACAGAAGAGAGCACATTTCACATTGAGGTTACTTGTGAAGAGGTCTAGCTCTAGGAGGCCCCACCAAGCAGTGATAGAGTGAAAAACAGTGGCATCCTGCTCCCATTCATGAAGTTGAGCCTGGGTGTGACTGAGAGAGTCGACCAATGCATTGCGCACACCTGGTAAGTGGATTGCGAGGGGCTCTGGGAGATACTCTGAGATTAGTGGAGAGCAACCAACTGTGAAGCAGAGGCTCAGCAACAGTTGGAGGGGGCCTAAGGCATCCCACGATGGGATCCAGTATGCTCACCGAGGTAGTGAGGATGGTAATAAGTACTGGTCGCTCCAGGTTTGAGCTCCTCCTAGTCTCAATAGGTCTCTGAAGAATGGTAGGCTTGGTGACGATGGACAGGATATTCAGCTGGTCTTGAAGCCCAAGCGGAAGCCTCTAGAAAGGGCTTTGCTGGAAAAGGTTGGTAAAGAACTGTGTGTCAGAGAGAAGCCAATGAAGAGGCAGAAGAAATGGGAGAAGAAGAAGGTTGCCCCTGGCCCAGTGGGGGGTCATGTACCCAATCGGGGGATTGGCTGAAGATAGAGAAAGGAGAGTAAGTTTGAGAGCATTGTTGTCAGATGGCTAAGAGATAGTCTCAGTGACAACTTGGGAGGGAGTGGTATTCGGCAGGTCTAGGAAAGTGTGGGCTTCTGTAGACCTCTATCCTGGTGAAGCTTCTTAGGTGAAGGCTCGGCATTGGGTCCGTGCTTCTTCCTTTTCTTAGAGGATTTTGTAGTGGAAGCCAAGGTCTTTGGGTCCGAAGTCTTCAAAGCCAAATCCTTCCGACATCGAGAATTTCAAGCCTGAGGATTTGGAGGTTGATGAGGATTTGGAGGGAGTAGGCTTAGGGGACGGAGCCAGTGGTGCATCTTGAGATAGATCTATATCAGCAGAGGGCCGAAGGGAGGCTTCCCTGAGATGGACCTTTACGTGGTCAAGTTAGAGCTGGAGGGCAACCTTGATAAATCTACAGCAACGCTGGCAGGATTGGGGCTCATGTTGTTCTTTAAGACAAAAAAGACAACGGGAATGTCTGCCCATCGAGGGGAGTTTGTTGCCGCACCAATGACACTTTTTGGAAGGGCCCCTTGAGGCCATAAAGGGCTGGGAATGAGGGAGGGGGTCCTGCAAGAGGAGAAAAACGAAAAAGAACTGAATGTAGAATGTTCAGATTTAATAAAGAGTCCAATCCTTGTCTTGGCAGGGAGAAAAAGAACCCACACAAGTGAAGATTAAGAGGCAAGTCCAAAAGACAAGGAAAGAAAGAGAAAACAAAGAAGAAGCCACTCGGGGATGGCAGCTACAGAAAGTTCCTTGAGCAGTAGCAAAAAAGGAACTGAGGGAAGACCATCAGAGGCGCAAACAGGCAATGTGGGAGAGAGTGGCCTCTAATGATCTCCTGGTTTTAGCTCTAGATGGTTCTGAGGATTCATACAAGCACAAAATGTTACCCATTAGTCTGCATTCAGAGACCACAACGAAGAACCAAGTAATTACAATATTAATTTAGTACAGCTGCAAGAACAAAAATTACACAATTCACAAAAAGCTGAGTTAACTAAATTTGTATAATATTACAGTTTGTCTAATATTTGTCTAGTATTATAATTTGTCTTTTATATAAATATATATAATATTTTATATAATTTTGTCTAATATAAAGTTACCAAAAGTTCTCCACTTCCATTCCTCTCTCTGTACATATAGAGAGGAATAATATTTAAGACAGAAACATTTCATTTATTTCCCTTATTTTAACAAGCTCTTTAAAATTTGCTCAAAGTTAATCTAATCAATAGTTTCAATGACGACATTGTTGTTTAGCATAATAAATTGCAATAGAGTGGCCCACTGAATGAATGGAGATTTGGTGATTCACCTCCTCTGCAAGTTCCATTAATTCAAGTGGGTTTATTCTAACTGCAACTTACTATGCCAAAGAACGTTGCAGTTAGAATAGGCCTATTGGAATCAATGGAACTTACAGAAGAGTTAAATCATCAAACCCCCTTGATTCAGGACAATTTACTCTAGTACAATTTACTACACTAAGAACAGGATTTTGGTGAACAGATTCCAAGACAGTACCAAATTCTTCACTATGTACCCCGCTGGGAACTGTGCAGTGGGAATGAAAACATTTCCCTACTGGACAACATTCAATTCTATAGAAATGAACTTTTGTTTATGAATTTTCTGATGCTTTCTTTGTCTCCACAGCTCTTTGTGTATTCCACCACCTAGAGCAGTGGTCCCCAACCTTGGGCCTCCAGATGTTCTTGGACTGCAACTCCCAGAAGCCTTCACCACCATTTCTGCTGGCCAGGATTTCTGGGAGTTGAAGTCCAGGAACATCTGGAGGTCCAAGGTTGAGGACCACTGACCTAGAGGATCTCCAGTGTTCCAGAGTACATTTAGAAAGTAATCATACAAAAATGCATTTCAGTAACAAATATATTTCTGTCAGTTAGCAGACCATTCAGTTTCACCCATAGTAGTTACATCCTGTTGCTATGTTTTCTTAATTCTGATTTATATTATTATGTTTTATTTTAATTGTTGTTAATACAGTGGGGTCTTGACTTGAGAACTTAATCTGTATTGGAAGGCGGTTCTCAAGTCAAAAAGTTCTCAGGTCAAATCTGCATTTCCCATAGGAATGCATTGAAAACCATTTGATCCGTATCTGCTCTTTTCCGTCCATAGAAACTAATGGGAAGCTGCTATTCTGCCTTCGACCACTAGAGGGGGATATTTTGTTTCTTTGTTCCTTAGGTCAAGAAAGGTTCAGGAAAGGCAGGGAAAATACAGTCCAGGCTGTACAGGACCAGGCAGTCCGAAGACTGTCCCCCAATCCACTCACTAAACGCTGGGAGGAGTGAGGAAGCAGACAGGCACCCTTTTCACTGGCCAACAGTTAACTGAAAGTTTAAATTTTGCACTTTCCCTGCCTCCCACGTGGGTTTTTTTCAGTTCTTAACTCAAATCTAAGTATGTAAGTCAAGTCAATATTTTCCTATGAGAGTGGTTCTTAAGTCAAAATGTTCTTAACTCGAGCCGTTCTTAAGTCAAGACCCCACTGTATGTTCATCAACATGTAAACCAGAGGTCGTCAACCTTTTTCCTCCTGCAGACCAGCTGAATCTCTCAGGGAGGTGGGGGCGCCCCCTTGCGCTTGCACTCTCAGATGCATATGCAAAGCTCCCCCACTGCTTCACACATGCGCAGGGGAGTGTGCTGGTGGTGGCAGAAGCCTGGGAGTCTGAGCATGGCCGAGGTGCTCCCTCCGGCCGCTCACCACCTGACGGGCTCCAATGAGGCACTCCCCCCCTGCCCTTGCAGGGGGCAGCACTCCTCCCTGCCCTTGCAGTGGGAAATTTAAATGGCAAGGAGTGATGACGACTGATGTGGCTGCCCCAGCGAGCAGCCGCTGGTGCCGGTTTGGCTGTGCTTTCATTCAAGCCAAAGAGAACAGCAAAGCCAGGAGGCGAGCAGCCGGAGCACACAGCCATGCTCAGTCTCCTGGCTTTTGGCCACTCCCGCCACCACCGCCAGGAGGCCAGCAGCTGGAGCCGCCAGCCATGGTCAGCCTTCTGGCTCATGGCCACCCCCGCTGCCACTGGGAGGCCAGCAGCTGGAGCACCCGGCCATGCTCAGCCTCCCAGCTCTAGGCTACCCCCATGGCTGCCAGACCGCAAAGACAGACCTCCACCCCCCACATGCACTCCCCTCCCCACAGCTGCTTTGTGTGCGCGGGCACATGCCTGAATGGGTGAGGGAGCACTCATGCCGGCGCTGGCACACGCGTGCATGCGCAAAGCAGCTGTGGGGAGTCCATGTAGAGGGGGGGTGGAGGTCTGTCTTCGTGGCCTGGTTGGGCTCAAGCCACAGATTGGCAACGGGCCATGGACTGGGGGTTGAAGACCTCTGGTGTAAACTATCCAGCCTTAGTAATCAGATGGGCAGCATAAAAATCAATCAATCAGTCAGTCAGTCAGTCAATCAACCAATCTTGATTCTAGAACAACCTTTGTGTTAAATTGGTTTCTAAAAGTACAGCAGCATTTGAATTTTACCGTTTAAATTGACATTTACCAACTTTTCTCAAAGCACTGTTGAAGAGAAAGAATTCCAAATATTTTATGTATTCTGAGAAATCAAACCAAACAATATAGCAGAATTACATACCTTGTTCTTGAAGTAAACCTCTATCGGCAAAATGAAACCAGCATATCCAGATTCCTCCACTTTGTATGGTGGATCTTTGCACACTGGGGGAAAAGAAAAAGGATTGATTTTTTAACCCTTTGTGCAACTGTTTTATAGAGGAAGCTATTTATATTGTCTCAGAAAATAGGTCCCTATTTTTTTAAGCATTTGGGGAAAAATGTTATCAATTTACATTCTCTCACTCTGTCATTGTGTTTACTGTTGTTCTAATATACCAATTGGTGACCAACCTTCTGATGATAAGCCCCTTGGTAACAAACTAGCTAATTAGTTGAAGATGCACACTGTGTTCTCATCTCATAAAAAATCTAAATTATTTTGATAAAAATTTCCAGAGTTTTGAATCTGACTCAACCTCAATATTTAAACAATGCGAAGTGTACTTTGATTATTATTTTCCCACTAGTTAAACAGTTCTACTCAACTAATTTTGGTTACTAAAATATCACACATAATTAACAACCTTTCCTTTTATTGACCAAATTAAGCATGCATACTAAATCAGATTTCTACTTATACAAGGTAGCAAAAGTATTTTCAGAATTTTTTCTGAGTTAAATTCTCCCCCAGTCAATATAATATATTTTAATGAAACAAATATTTGTGTAGTTGTTACTATTGTTTTCGTTATTTTAATGTCATTTGCAGCCCATTATTTCTTGGCACAGAAATCATCCCTTGCCTCTAAATTTTGTAGGAGTTAGAAGCAGTCTAGAAGCCGCAGCATGGCAGCTATTAGAGACATATATTATCTTTAGACAAATGTAGAAAAATTGACTAAAACATAAGTATATGTACAATCATGGAGTGAGTATTGGGCACAGCAAAGAGCTGCTAGTCATCCACAGGGCAGAGGAACATTCCCTTTGGAATTCATGTTTAACTTTTTTTTTTAACCAAAGTTGCCCAGCTATTTCAAGCAAGGAAAAAGAAATGGAAAAGATTAATGGCAAAGGAGATGGCAAGTCATAGCTGACTGGATAAGCATCAGGTCAGTATGTTGCCAAAAGGGTTCAGAACTGGAGTGGGCACCTATTTTGTGTGCTCTTAGTATTTGGGCATGGATCACATTGGTGGTGCACTGCACACACCTAACATCTATACCTGCAAACATACCTAAACAAAACAAAGAGGGTTGTATTCTCTGTACAGACTATGCAATCTGGGATTTGCTTTCTTCCACTGCTCTTTCCCTTATTTCATCTCCAAACCGCTCTTTATGCACAGATAATGGATTCAGTGAGCAGGATCTAACAGGCAGGTTATGTTTCATATGCAAAATATTGAAATAACACATTAGATGTATGCATTATCAGTGTTAACAAGAAGAGAAAGCAACAATGGTATATCAAAAGAACAAGCAATGTTTCAACATTACTTTCTATATATTATAAAATGTTTAGTGCCACTCCTCTTCTTTAATACAACAGTAACCAATATGGCATTGACATGCTGAATCAAATGTGTTACAGTATTTTTAGCTCTGCAACAGTTTATAGATGTGGCTAAATATAGACATTTTATCCCACTTTCTTCTGAAGATTTTTGGGTGTATTTTTAAAATACTGTACATTAAATGCATATGTAAAACAAATCTGCCACTGAATTTAAAAATGTGAATTGGTCAATATGTAAGATACATTCACATGGAGATTGAAAACTATGCTCATGTTGCTCTCTTTTGACCAAGGCAAAACCCCAGTTATAACATCAGCTCTGTAATCAACTTGCAAGTTTTGAAGAGGCTTGGAAACAGGTTGATACTCCTGGTTCCACAGAATTAAATAAAATATGACTATTAGACACAGGAATTGCAACTGTAATGTTTCATATATCTTCTTAAATTACACATCCAAACTAAAGAACAGCATTAAGATAGGATGGCTGAAATTAACTTAAGCCTGGAATCAAATATTAAAATGAAGCCTGGAATCCACTGCCCACTGCAATGTATGACAAATCTAAATTTCTGGCAATATAAATGAGGTATTTGGCTATTAAAGGTCCAAATTTTAATCAAGCAAGGAAGCAAACCAACATTTTAAGAAAGCTAAGACAGAATGGTTTCAACAGGTAAGAGCAAACCTAATAACAGATTAGGCTTTTGGTTGTTCTGGGTTTTTCGGACTCTTTGGCCGTGTTCTGAAGGTTGTTCTTCCTGACGTTTCGCCAGTCTCTGTGGCCGGCATCTTCAGCAACCTGTACTCTGTACTCTGTACAGCCTGCTGTCCTCTGAAGATGCTGGCCACAGAGACTGGCGAAACGTCAGGAAGAAGAAACTTCAGAACACGGCCAAAGAGCCCGAAAAACCCAGAACAACCATTAGATCCCGGCCTTGAAAGCCTTCGCGAATAGATTAGGCTTTTATTTTTGTGTCTTCTCTGTGGCAGGGAACGCCTGGCTGGCCATTGTTAAAATATGTAGATGAAGAGCTTGGTGAAGTTATTTTTTGTTATGCTTTTACAATTAAAATTTACTTTTCTGTCTATTAACTCACAGAATTTCTTGGCTATGAAACCCTTACTATTATGTTAGAAATTTAACACAAAGATATTTTGGAAATAGGAGAGCAAGGCAACTTCAAGAGTAGACTACATACTATGTTTTCAAAACACATTGACCAGAACAGCAACAGAGTCTACATTTACCAAAAAACCCTCTTCTCCCAGTACATATGTAAAGGCCACTGTTCTATCCTTCCGCTACCCAAGCAACCAGTGGCTTACTGCCTTTGAATGTGGATATTCCATAAAATCAGGACTGGTAGCCACAGACAATGTTTCATTTTATGTGAGATTTCTCTAATCCTCCTTTAAAGACAGCCAGCACAGACATCACTACTCACTGAGCAATGACTGAGCAATCAAGAAACAACATATTCCTAAAAATCAAAGCAAACCATGCAATGCTGAATACTATCTTTTATTTTGGATGGCTATATACTACAAATAAGAAACATATGGTTGTCCAGGTGGAGCACAAATCCTATCGGTCCAGACCATTGACTGTGCTTATCTGAGATGCTGTGAGTGGGAGAATAGTTTCTCACATCTGCTTTGCTCTGTATATTGTACATGTAAAGTATTTGATGAAACAGCTGTGCAGTGTTGTTAAGATCATGTTTACAGAAACCTCCAGGGAATGTGTTCATAGCTTTGTCTTAAAAAGCAGCCTATTGTGAGTACTTGGAAATGGCTGAAGAGTAAAATGAAGGAATTTTTTTAAAAGGTAAAAACAGTGGTGTGTGCACGTACTCAATTTCTGGGCATGAAAATAAGTGTGTTACAGAAGATTCTCTGCACCCATGCACAATGCTATAGAGTTATAGTGTATAAATGTTCATTGTAAACATTTCTTGAAATGTTCAAAAAGCAAACTGTGTAGATTATCTAAAACATGTTCTTTTGGGGGGGGATGAGGGATAAAGATCTTAAATGCAGAAACTCGGAGACGGCATAGCAGTGAATATGAAGAAAACAAAGAAAAACTATCAGTCTTGATCAATAAAACATCTTTGAGACTTGCTCAGTGGCATGTTGCTTATACATTAATTTTTTAAGGCCAAGCCAGTTTCCCCACCCCAAACTCAGGGTGGATTAAAATTGATGATTTAAAAAAAAAAACATTTAAAAATTTAAATCAATTTTATTAGAAATAAATAAATAAATAAATAAATAAATAAATAAATAAATAAATAAATAAATAAATAAATAAATAAATAAATAAATGCTTTTTGAGGAAAAAGCTATCTAAATATAGTTTTCTGTTTTACATTATAGTTCAAAGGTTATTCAGCATAAAATAGAAGTTATGTAGCATGAAGCTGTATATTCATGTATTGTTTACATTTTTTAAACTAATTCAATTAATCCAAGTTATGCAAGATGAGATATCACAGTAAAAATGGTATAAATGGTATAAAATAAACAAAGTTTAGGAAAAGACCTTAAACCCATTGTTGTTCTGTAAATCTATGTACAAACAATTAACACATTGATGTTTGAGCAAATACAAGAATATATATGCCATATAATGTTAATAACACAATTTAAGTAGTTGTCTAAATATGGGTCATTAACCTATTAAACTAATATCTCTTCTGATATGCTGCTTTACTAATCTGACAGGTTATTATTCTAAATATTGCAAATATTAAAAATTATAACTACCAACAAGAATGAACCTTTAGATTTAAATATCATGATTTAAATCAAGTCTTACTGACTTGATTTATTGACTCGAACTGATTAAAATCAAATCTACCTTCCCACCACCATTTTATGAAAATTTACCCATTAAAGTCTGCCATAGGGTTGCCAGACGTCAGGCAAAAGGAGGACATGTCCTCTTTTTTAGCCTAATGTCCTCCATCCGGCAGGCAAAGATAAAAACCTTTAAAATGTCTGGCTTTTGTATATTTTATGTTATCATCTTGGATGAGAGGGGGAGAGGGGGAAGGAACCCCCCTCCCCCAGTCTTTCCCCACGACCCCCCTTAGCTGCCGCCAGTGCTGGAGTGCAGTCCTTGCCCCTTCACGACACCGCCGTGGCTGCTCGGCGATCTGCCATGCCTGCCCAGCCCATGTGGAGCCTTAAAAGGCAGCGCGGGTGGAGCTCTGCCCGCCAAGCCAGGCAGGAGCAAGCAGAGCCCAAGCGCATCAATGGGAAGGTGAGTGCCCAGACTGTGTGTGTTCAAAGTCCCTTTTGGGGACTCCAACTCCCACACACCCCAGCCTTGAACTTATGACCCTCAGGGGAGGGGAGGCTGCCTCATTCAGTTTTGCCCGGCGCAACTTTCCCCCTGCCTGTGCTAGAGCCTTGTTTGGGCGTCCAGATTAGCAAGGTTGCCTCTGAGCCTGTGCAGAATGTGAGCAGCTGGGGGATTCCGCAGCCGGGCTGGGGTGGGATTGGGTACAATTGGCTGTTTAAATAATGTTTTTTGGTATTTTGAAAAAAGCCTCCATTGAATTTATTTTTATTTTTTAACATGACTGCTTCTTGGTTGGTTCACTAAGAGACATTTATTGGCAGCTATTGTAATA